TGTAGCTAATAAACATAGCTGAACTGAATTAGCACTGTCTCTTGGAGTTCCTTGGGCTAGGTCTGACATCAATCTTCCCAGTCTCTCCATAGAGGGAGGTGTCACTGTTGACACTATTAAAATTAACTTCTGAGTCCATTGTTCAAAAATATCCTTCAATATGTTCAATGTAAGAATATTTTGCTTCATTCTATAATTGTAAATCAAGTTTATGTGTTCTTCTCTAGTGTCCAAGTTTTAAAAACTCAGCTTATTATGTTTATTTTTAATTCAAAACAAAAACATTTTCCCATGGAACAATTTTTTATAATTAATTCCAAAATCTTATTTCAAATTTATCTGGATTCTTAGTCCATTTGTAACTTTCTAAAATCAAAGTTTTAATCACCATTTTTCTGTTTTACCCCCCCCCCCCCAATTTTAAGTTCTTAAACTTGTAGTTAAAACTTTCTTTCACTAAGGATTGCAAAAACTCACCTGGTGCTCTCAGACTTGTCAACCTAAAAGTTTCTAATAGCTAAAAAGCAGTTAACGAACAATTTCCAAAAGTGGTTAGAAACGGAAGTATGTGAACTTAATGTTTTTTCAAAGGTGCCGACCATGCTTTGAGCAAGATGGCTATTCCCTTGTCTCCCAGAGCTCTAAATCCACCACTGCTGTCTTGCCATCTCCTCATGAGAAGCAGCTGTCTGGAGCACTTGTGGGTGATCCCAAGTTCTCTCCTTGTCCACAGAGGAATTACCAACAGCTGGTCTACTCACTGGCTCTTCATTCTGCTGCGGTCATTGGCTCCACTTTCTGTAGAGCCAACTTCAGACCGCCTTTTTCTTCCTCTGGAAGTTGGAGGCATCAACAAATATTTTCTGGGTTCCTTATGGATTAAAACAAATAAAAAGTACCCTCTTCCCCAAATACAGAGAACACTCTGCAATAGCAACGGAGATTCAAAGTTTCTTTATTGAAATAGATTATCTCTAAATGCATTTCAACTCAGCATCAGGACTGTTTCATGGCTGGTCAGCTTTGGTCAGCATAAATTATCCATATTTCCATCTTGGGAGTTCATCCTTGTTGATTCTGCTGAGTTGCTTATTATATTCTAATACGCCAGGCCAGAGCCCCTCTCTCTCTCTCTCTCTCTCTCT